TTTGTGTAATGAAATCAGGGAGCAAAGGGCCTGCTGTAGGACTTTGCTGGTGGGATTCCAGCGGGGTTGTCTTTCAGTGGAAGGGCTGAAAGTGCTCTCTTAGTGGAAGGCTGTCGTGCTCTCCCAGTCGCGTGGGTCACCATGGGTAGCTCGGGCTCGCTTTGTTTATGTAGCCAGAACATTTCTTTTTAAGCATCTGGCTGGAAATAGAGGTGAAGGCAGTTTTGATTCACTTTTAATAAAAGATCAATGCCTTTATTGTGAAAAAATAGAATGCAGATGTAAGGCTGCTCCCGATAAAAGAATTAAATGTGTGTTTGACCTTCCTGTTTTGTTTTTTCAGTGCTACTGGTGCTTGACCTTCTTCGTTTTCAAGACTATTGTCTTTCTTGGTAGTTTTACATTTTAAATTTTACTTAGACTACAAAAACAAACTCTGCTGGTGTTTTTCATCTCAAGTGCTTACCAAATCCCTCAGATTTCACAAAATATTTAAAAAGTAATCTCCAGACTGAAGTCTCATTAAAACCTTTGCCCTTCCTGTGGAACAAAAGTTCAGAGAAGTTCTGGCCGATTCTAATTTGGAAACTGTAAAACAAAAAACATCACGGTGTGAAATATTAATTTAGGCTTGGCAGCCTCACTGTAAAATTTATTTCCAGAAGCTTCCAATTAAAAGGCAGCATGTCTAATTGTGTAAGAGAAAGCACCTTGAAGGCTCTTATATTATGTAGGAGGAAAAATGAAGGTGTTTTTTTGTTAACCAAGCAGTCACATTTATGTTGCAGTGAGCTGACTTGGTAGAAGAAACCATGTACTCAGGAATTTCTTAGCCATACTGATTTTCAGTATTGCTTTTTAATGAAGCTATCTGATAGATTAGTCAGGTATTTATTTTTTTGTTTTCTTTGTACAGAGTGGTTTGGGTTGGAAGGGACCTTAAAGCCCATCCCATCCCATCCCACCCCCTGCCACGGGCAGGGACACCTTCCACTAGCCCAGGGTGCTCCAAGCCCCGTCCAACCTGGCCTTGGACACTTCCAGGGATCCAGGGGCAGCCACAGCTTCTCTGGGCAACCTGTGCCAGGGCCTGCCCACCCTTACAGGTCGTCTCTAAAATCATGAGTGACGGGGGGATAAGGCAACAACTGTTCCTGCATTTCTGTCTCAGAGGCAGGAACAAGCTGTAGTTGCAGATGGAAGTGAATCAAAGCAATTGTTCAGGATTATGCAGTGGCAAAATCCATTATTACTGAAATTACCTGGTTCTAGAAGGACCTGCACTGCAAACAGCTGGAAGTCAGGAGTGGACTGGCAGAGTAACACCATGTGCTCATCCTGGCATTTTAATCTTCACTGATTGTTTGCTGCTCATGGTCGTCAGAGATGGGATATTTGGCTGTACCGTGGGCATGGGTATGACCTGCAGTGGCTCTTAGTGGTTCAAAATGTGTTAATATTCTGTCTCAAGAAGGATGTTTTCTGGGTGTCCATAAAAATTTTAAACGGCACCACAAAAAATTTAAATTTTAGGTAAACACACGTTTTTTTGTTTCCAAAAACGTTTCAAAAAAAGCGCATTTTTTTGGTTTGGGTACTCCTGGACAAAATGTAGGTGCACAGAGAGAAATATGTGCAGTTGTTGTGTATTGACAGAGTGCATTTCATCAGCGGGTGGTGTTGGATTTGAGAAGCTGAAACCCGAGAGCAGTGCTTAGGGATGGTCTGTAAGATGATACTTTTTGTTGAAAGTCGTGTAGTTAAATATTCCCAAGATGGTCTGGACAGCTTAAACAGTGCTACTGTGCAAGAGCTTTTATACAGCGGGCTAAAAGACAAGCAAAATGTTTTCAGTTGTGAACTTGTACCATAGACAGAGTGGCTTCTGAAATGAATGCTGATTTCATCTGAAGTCAGGTTTGCAAATCTGATGAAGTTGTGCTGTGATAAATCCCTCTGCAGCAATTCCCTTTAGGAGATCCCCTCTCTGTTTTGGATTTATGTTGTTGTACACTGTGAACCGGCAATATATAGAATAAGAAGGAGTATAAATAGTGTGCTTAGAGGCAATTTTTTAAAGATGACGTAATCGTCTTAGGGTGAGTAATGAAATTTGAGCATTTTTCTTGAAGTGCAGATGCTCCTGCACACGAGGTAGAACCAGTCTGGGTTCTCAGGTTTAGGTGTTTTCACAGTCCAGGAATAAGGGCACAGCGGGGAAAAAATACAAGTTGGATTCATAGTGGTTTGTTTTCATATTGAGGTTTTAAATATTTGGGAGAAAGTAAATATGTTGAGAGTAAGTGCTTATGGAAAGGGTGGTGATGGGGAGGTAAAAAGACATTATTTCATTCAATTTACCAGAATCTGTGGATTCCCTGGTGAATTCTGTCAGTACAGACACACTGCAAATGCTGTTCCTTGGGAAACTCCCCCCCCGTGTTCCTCCCTCCTCTGTGGGGTGAGTCATGGGATGTGGGTTGAACCAGCAGTGTCAATAAAATGCCTTTTCAGGAGCGCTGTCTTACTTCAGGTGTGTTTGTAAACACTTTGAGGAAGGGAGGACATCAAAGGGCATCAGTGGCTCCTTTCATTTTCACCTCTAATTCCGCTGTGTGTCCCAGGTCAGCAGTGCGTCATCCCCACAGCCTCCTGTGTCTTCAGGGAAGATTATTAGCAAGATCCTAAATTTTAGGGGAAGAAAACCTCTAAAGGAAGCCACCTCAGAACTATTGCTTCCTTTTTCTTTCCCAAGTAGGGTATTTTGATGCCCAAAAATAAATACTGAACCTGCAGTGGTAGATTGGATGATCGATTTTTCCTGTTCCTGTGTTGCTCAGTACTAAAGAAGCCCTTTTTATATATAATTATAACCAAACCAATAATACTGCAATGCAGTTAATTTTATATATCCTATTTATGCCAGACTATGACATTATAGATTTAACTGGGAAATTTAGAATGTGGCTGAATGGTGATACAATTTTCATGTGTGGGATTCACAAAGGGGATAAATCTGAAGATGTGGGAGCAGTATTTTTCTAGGAAAACTAAGTGGCTGGGCTGTCTTTGCTGATAGCCATGAGTATGCCCTGGCTACTGGGAAAGACTAATTTGCCACCTTGTATTTTCTGTGCTCTGAAAAATGATTCCTTGGCTGTTTCTGCCCTCTGGGCCACTTGAGAAAATGTCTTTAAATCAAGAAGTATTCATGTTCTGTTTTTTTTAAAATATGACTGAAAAGGCATATTTTTTTTCCCCCCCAAGTCCTTCAATTGTTTCATCTGAGTAGTGGTGGCTAAAAGTGTTCTTCAAGCACCACCTTCACATGCCATTCAATTATTCCTGTTTACAGAGCGTAACGTTTCAAAGTGGTTTATTTAATAATGTCATTTCCATTCTCTGGCTTTAGAGGATTTTCTAAGGCCTTGAGGTTTAAACTTTTGGATGGAAGAATATTGTTTTAATTCAATATAAAAATTGGCCTTTAATTAAAAAAAATAAAAAAATAAAACCAACAACAGTGGTCACCAGTCGGTCCTGAATGTGCTCCAAAGGAGGCAATCAGTCACACAGACCATTTCAGAGAGGTACATCAGGTATTTGACAAGGTTCAACAGCAAACCTGGTTATTTTTATGCGTTTTTTTCATGTGGGCAGTTGTGACTGTTTTTATCAGAGATAATTCTGGTATTTCCTACTCAGCAGTTTACAGCTGGTGGGAAATACATTAAAAAATGTTGGGGTTTTTTTATGTGAATGTTATGAAGAGTCAAACAGTAAGAGTATAAAAAGAATTGAGGATTTCTGCAAACATAAATTGTTTCTTCTGATTCTCCAAAACGAGGTGTTGCTGCATAAGGCTGTCCCTGAAGGAATGTTTTTTTCTCCAGGCTGTACTCAGGATAATTATGTATGTCCCTTCCCAAATATTGCTCAGCTTTGTTCATAATGGAAACTGGAAAAAACCCTGAACTTCATCTCAAGATGATAATCTTGATTACCTGTTTAAAGTAACTGATATGAAGAACTCCTGGTGGCCTGAACTGCAGTCTGACTTCTGATAACACCCAATCTTTTCAATGAGATCCTTCAACTTTTCATTCTATTTACTGTGTGGCTGTTTTTCCAGCTCATACCTGTAATGGATTTGCAATTTAAAGCTTCATTTGATATTGCCACCATATGGCTGTGGATGCTGAGAGGGTATGGACTGAGTGAGTAATGGCTCCAAGATAGATTTGTGACTGAAGTTATAGGCCGCTGAATAATCTTATTTTAAATCAAATGAAGATCTGATTAGAGGAGGTTATTGTTGCTGAGGTGGTGATTTTCTGTGTGGCTAAAGGGAAAATAGTTCTGTCTGTTTAGTTTCTGGGAATGTCTGCAAAGAATATCTTTTTAATAAATCAACAAAAACCGGTGGAATTTCACTAATCATTACCTGTAAGCTAATCCAGGAAAAACTCCATGAATTAAAGTGTTGCTATTTAAGTAGCAATGAACAAAATGCTCCATCACTAATGCAATAAAAGCGTCCTGCTTACTGTTAAGTGAGGGTTTTTTCTATTAGATTTCTTTTTTTTTTTTTTTTTTTTGTCTCCATTATTTGCTAGAATTACCAACACTTGAGATGAGCTGCCTTTGGAGGTGCTGAGTTTTTTAGTGTCGGCACCAGCTCGGCAGAACTCTGGAGGATAAACTTGAAATACAGAGTTTCAGCAAGCAAAGCCAAAACTTCTCTGGTCCATCTTGGCCGTGGTGGAAGTGTGCTATGTTAATTTTACATTTTCATCAAGTGCCAAGGTTAGGTTTGTGTTCCTGAGACGGTGCTGAAAGGACTGAAGCCTGTGATTTCACTGCACACTCATTTGGTGTAGATTAGATTGAAATTATTCCTCCTTCTTTGGAAAAATCTGTAAAGCTGTGGCCAGAGTGTTCTTGTGCAACTGGGTGTGACTGCTGTCTTTCTGATTTTCCCCTTCTTTCCTCCTCCCCAGGGTCAGTACAGGCCCTCTGACCTGCTGTGTCCAGAGACCTACGTGTGGACGCCGATCGAGCAGTGCCTGCCCCTGCTGGAGAACTCCAAGTACTCTCGGTTCAATCAGGATGAAAAAGCAGGTAAAGTTTACCAGGAATGACAGGCCTGGGAGCTGTCTCTCTTCTTACAGTGTATCAGCAGCATCTGCTGCTGCTGCTGCAGCATTCTGGAAACGTGATCTGCGAAATATAAAAAGCGCTAAAATTCACAGCTCCTGCAGCAAACTTGGCAAATGGAGGGCTTTATTTTGTAAGCAGTGCAGATTTGAAGTACATTCTGTTTTAGAGATTATACATAGTTCAAAATAAACACATATTGCTGCCTTTCAGATAATTAGATTTGCTATTCTGGGCACGGACAAAACCAATTAAATAATTGTTCCTCGTAGTCCAGTCAGAGGGATGCATAAAGGAAGGAAATGGGAATCAATACAGGAGAAGCTTAAAGGCTTTTGTTAAGGAACAAAGTGGCAGATTTGGTTTAACAATCTGTCAGTGAATGTGAAAAATACAACCAACAGCAGTAGCACCTTAAACATCTTGAAGTAGATTTATACATTCTGTAATAGATTTATACATTCTGTAAAATATGTGCTTAATGGTTTGCCAGCATAGAATGGTTGAAATTGTCACTGGCCAGCACATAATACAGTAATGCTACTGTAAAATGAGGCAACCAGGTGGAAAAAATACCTGTATTTGCTTTAGTTACTGACTCTCTGGGCTGATGGCAGGTCCCAAGGGAGCTGTGTTAGAGGATGCTTAAAGTGGTGCTTGTGGGGAAAGGGAACCAACTTAACTTTAGTTTTTAACTGGAAATTGCTGAATGTCCTCTTTTTGTAATTTTCTTTCTCCTGTGAATAACAATTGAATGTGGCTGTGGTATTAATCAGAGATGTGTGGTGTTACTCAGCTCAGGGGTATGTAACACCATGGTCTGTTTCAAAACACCAAAATACAGATTTACCTGTCTCTGAGTGACTTTCAACATCTGCTTCTTTCTTTTTCCTTTTTTTTCTTTTACTCTCTTTCCTTTTTCTTTTTTCCCTTTTTGATTTTTTTTACTTTTTGCTGTAGTTTAGTGGGATTTTCCTTCCCTAGACAGTTAACTGTTAAATCCTGGGAGGGCAGGATGTAGATAAATCAAAGGAATTTGAATAGGCTGCTTAATCAGGACTGTGAAGTTCTGGAAGTGCTGTTGAGTTCCTTGCACATCCTGTGCTTGCTACGTGGTTGCTCAACTGCAACACTAATAATAATAATTACAAGAACTACAGCAGCAAAGTTCAAATAAATGTCTAGCCATAGATTATGATTTAAAGTTTTAGAAGCAGAATTACCTGAAGGGTTCTGTGCAAATAGGGAATGTTCTTTAGGGATTGTGGATGTAGCCATGTGATGTGATTGGCAAACAGACTTTTGGGTGCTCGTTGAAAAGAGTATTTATCCCCCAGGGAAAGTCTCAGTGTGTAAGAGACTGAAAAGAGCAGCACATGATCATATCTTGGTCAACCAGAACCATCCTCAGACTGGGGAGAGGAAACTGGAAAGGAATTACAAAGGCAGGAGGAAGAAGGGAGTGGCTTTGGAGGCCAGTGGTGTTCAGGATGCTCTTGGTATCCAGAGAGTGCTAAACTGCTGCCTTTGAAGGTGTTAACCCGGTGCAAGCAGAGGGGCATCCTCATCTCCTCGAGGGTGTGAAACCCCTGTGGCAAACCACGTGTTTGGGCACCGCAGGATGTGAAGCTTTGCATCACTATCAGCACAGAATCTCTCACTGCAGAGGCTGCTGGAGCTGTGACTTGTGTCCTGTGGTTTAAGGAAATTAAAACATAGCTCCACGTTGAAGTGCGCCGGGCCTGCTGCGAGCTGGAAGTCACTGGAGGTTTAAGCAGTTGCCTGCTCCAAGGAAGCCATTTCTCAACAATGAAATCACTTTCCCTCTTAATTCTTTGCTCTCTCCAATAGTCAGCAGTATGAGTTTAATGAAGTTACAGTGAGTTTTAAAGAGAGCAATAGGGGTGATGGTGTGCTTCATTCCTCCTGAGTCAGCTCTCTGTAATACTGTCCATAAGTATGGTTAGAGCAGGTTGTGATTTATCAGGAGTGGGATGTGGAAACTGAGGGCAGTAACCAGATCCACTAAAGGAGTGGGGAAAAACAGTGCAGCCTGCACTGCTGTCTGGGGCAATAAAACAGTCACTGGAAATAGTCATCTTCTAATATTGTCTGTAATGTCAGAATTTCTTAGGCATTACCTCATGGTAGTTTCTTCGTAATTTTCAGCAATTTCTGAATGTGTCTTCCCTCCCTTTAAAAAAAAACCCAAAGAAATTTAGCTAATAAATTTACCAGTTGCAACTTCAGGAGAGAATGTTATGTGCTCTGACCTCTCGAATCTCTGTAATATGAAAGGGATCTTTGAGTATTCATGCACGTTACGTTGCAGCGCTCCTTCCCCTAATCAGATTTATTTTTACTTTTCTGGAGGAAAAGAGAAAAAGGTGCTCAGAAAAAGTAGCCTTTTTTTTTCCTAAGGCACAAGAAAATATTACTTGATATTTGTGGAGGATTTTTTCTTGCTTTTCATTGTGTGGTTGTGTGAAGCTGTAGCATTTTCAAATGCTTTTAGAGTGTATTGTTTGCCACTTCCTTCTTCTCTGACATCTCGTACTTTTATCAACAGCTGGAGAATGAAGAAGAGAGGACAGACAAACTAAACAAAGTCCTTAACTCTTTATACAAGCCAGATAAGTCTTAAGGAAGTGTCTCAGTTAATAACACTTTACTATCCCTACTTACCCTCAAAACACACCAGTCCTACAGAGACAGCAATGAGGTTTTGTCCCAGCAAACACTCGAATTAGGTACTTGAATAAACTGCTGCTAGGCTCTTCATGTGCATTTCCTAAAATGCATTGAAAAACATCAGTTACCTCTGAAAACATTGTACAGAGCAGCATTCAGACAGCATTCATGGGTGGAAGGTCATGTTTGTCAGGTATTTTTGTTTTTATAAACCACCACTTTTGCCTACATTACTCATGCCTCAGAACAGATTTTGTATTTTTGTTGTCTGTTCAGCTTGAAAAATTCAGAAGGTCTGGCATAATCTTACAAATGAGAGAGGTTTATTAGGATTCTGATATGTTTATTATTAACCTGTCACCAGTCATTTACTTACAACTAAATAAGTAGTTAGTGAGATGGGGCACTAACAGAGGGTTTGGATACTGATGCATTCTGGAAATTGAGGTAGTGCTGAACTTCATTTAACAGACCATTAGCTGTAAGTACAGATGGAGATATGCTGAAATAAAAAGAAGTTAATTAAAAGGTTGCTCTGCAGATAAGTACTTGTCTGAGACTTTGACAGCACATGAAACTGATGAGCAAAATTCAGTCACGTGATAGCAGCTGCTGAAATATTCCTGGGCATGATCTGTGTGCCACACTCATTAACTTCCTCCTCTCCAAACTAGTCCTCGGGCTTTTACTTCACTGGTACTTTCACCAACTGCTTTGCCCATGAAACAAAGGCAGTATGGAAAGAATTACAAATAATTTACTTGGAATCCTGGCAATTTTTTTTATCCTTCCACTTCCCATTTTCCCGAGATTAACCCGGTGATGTGTCTTCTCTTTGTAACATCTGTTGAGATTTTCAGTTGGTTGCTCCTGAGAGAAGCCCGTGACAAATGTCTTCATGAAGTACAATCTTTATGAAAATCTACTTTTGGGATGGTAATTAAATTAGTGGGAAACTTCAAATCTCTCTTCCCATCAGCCCTGGACTGTCAAGACTATTAAGAAGCAGCTTCAGATGAGGGCAGATACAATCCAGGTGTAAAAGTGCTTCAAAGCCTTCATAGGTATGGGACTGTGTCATGTAATGTGGGGTGTACACAGTGCCAGCCAGGGGGAACAGGGGACTGTTAGCCCAAGTGAAGAAGCTTGGTGTGAATTTCTAGGACTGGGGTACAGCAGTGTCAGCAGTGGAAGCTGCTCCCCACTCTCCTGTGTCTGCAGGAGCTGTGTGAGCAGAGCTGTGAGTCCTGCAGATCAAAAGGACTTCAGTGCTTTTGCTGCCTTGACTGATTTGTCTGCTGAAGTTGATGAATTGGATAAGCTAATACACATCTGCTCAGCTTCCTGTGTATCCAATAATAGACTGAAATCAAAACGGAATCGAGTGGAATACATCAATTAAAATGAAAGTATTTTCTGCAGCGTTGAAAAATGACACATAACAAAGGCATAACATAGGCTCCTCTGTCTTTGCTTTGTGTGCTCTTAGAGACAAGACAATCTTTGCTGCAGAGAGTGTGGTTAACAGAAACCACAGCGGAGGCAAAAGGATGGGATAAAGAAACAGAGAAGCACTTCTGGGTTGCCTGGTCAATTGTAGCAGTAGACTAAATTATAGCCTATTAATAGACTAAACTGAACTTTTTGTAAACATCACAGTGAAGGAGAGTTTCAAGGAGGGATGTAAGGAAGTAATCTTTTGTAGTGTGAGAGGTGTAGGAGAAATGAAGAATATGGGGAGGCACAGAGCAGTTTCCTTGGAAACAGATAAACTTGTCTGGGATATCAGATCCCATAGTCAGATGTAGAGCTTGCATTGCTACTTGCTAGGAATGAGGGTGGAGGGAAACAAGAGTGTGGGAAGCCTTAGAAGTGATGTTCTGTGGTGTGATCAGGGTACAGGTAGCTGGCAGAGACGTGCCTGGAAAGATGGTGAAGAAAATTTTGGAGTAGTTCGTATGAGTAGAACGGTGCAAAGAAGGGCTTGGCAAGAACAAGCTGTTGGAATAAGCAGTGATGGGATTCAAACTTGACCATCTAGATAGGTATTTGTGGAGATGAAGAGGAGAGGCTGTTATTTGGATGTACACTATGTGGAAAGAAACTAGATGTGGAAACTGAAGAGATGACAAAGCCAAAGGATTCAGCAACCGCCTTCCTTCTGCCTCTTGCTCTTGCTGCAGCCCAGACTTTGCATCTGCCACTTCCACACAGCAATGAAGGCCTTGCTTCTTCCAGCAGAGTGGAAGTCCTAAGAAGAATTTAGGCTTGAC